CAAGCCAGTACGATTAAAATTGTCAATCTTCTCTTCTTGGCAAGTTACCATGTTTGGATTTCGAGCTCTGCTTATTTATTTTGCCTTGCTTTCTGTGATTAGGGTCGGCTGAATCCTCTCTACTCTTGAACCCTGTCCTACGCTGCTCCTCCCGATTTTGGGGGGTGCTCAGACTGATTTTGGTCAGAAAAGCTTGGTGGCTGTTGCCACACTTCTTCCCTTGTGACCTAGTGGTATAATAGATATCCTTTGTGGGTATAAACGGAGACCTGAGCTGGAAGAAACGTCCCTTACAGATTTGGATCTATAATGTATTAAAAAGATATATATAAAAAATAGTAATATTTTTTTATCATCAAAATGACTTTTCATTAATATAGAGCAAACATGCAAGACAAAATCCAGACAACAATTACATATCCGATCATAAGCCCTATGATAGACTTAGAGTCAGCAACCCATACAAAGCAACCTGACTCGCTAGACAAAGAACAGGCAAGAAGAAGCCTAAAAAGACCGAAAATGAAACACTGCCTATCAAAAGTTTATCAAAAATCAAAATACTCCAACCATACCCGCTTGAACTGAAATAAAAATAAGTACTGCGAAAGGAAAATAATACGAAAATAAAAAGTTTCCCCAAATTGCTACCCTGCATGGAGGTGGTTCCGGAGGAGGGCGAGCTGTTGTAGTATGGTAAAAGAGAAATTCAACCCCCGGAAAATTCGTCTGAAACTCTAGCTATCCTTCTTGCGCTCGCCAATTTGCTCTTGCCAATTTGCTCCTTGAGATTTGCCATTGAAATCCATGTCCAAAGTAACTCTATCATCTTTTCTTGTGTTTCTTCACCCAAAATAATCCAAGCCGCACCCCACAAGGAAACCCCAAAATAAGTAATATAGATATGCAAGCAGCTTTTACTGAAATTGAAAATTAATAATTTTCTAAACTGTGAAAACAAATATGTATTTAACTTTGGGAAGGATATGAGAAATAAATTTGGATTACGTATGCTTTTAACATTTGTGATATGTAAACTGTGATACCTCAAATATTTAAAATACAAAATAAATATGTATGTAACTAAGGCAAGGATCTTAGAGGTGTTGCCTAATAAAAATATTTAAAAAAATTAAAATAAAATATTTACAATTAAAATAAATCAATACTTTGGTGTTGGGGAAATTCCTATGTATCTTCATTAAGTTTGGTTTAGTGTTTGAGGTGAAGAACGGGGCAGGTTGTGAAAAACTCGGAGCAAAAATAAAAGTTAGAAATCAAGTATGCTAGAAAGTGCACACAACATGCGCGGAAAGTGTGGGAGATATGATATGAAAAGCGTGCGCGACGTGCGCTTGCCGTGACGTATATTTAAGGAAGTATTTTTAAATTTGTAGAACATTTAATTTATAACTTTCATCTTTCGATTTTATTTTGGAAAACTTGGAATTGTTTTATTTGTTACATATTTGTTTACTATGATTTATATTTACAATTTATATTATTACATCACGACAATCGGATTTTGATATGGGAAATTATTACATTACACGTTTTTTTTTTTTGAAAAAATATTAAACTACATGTATTATTCATATTATCCAAAAACTTAATTTGTGACATGAGAAAATTATTTTCTTTTACATCGCATGGGTACTACTAGGGATGGACCAGGACCGGGCTGGGCTTCAGGGACGGGTCGGGGCGGGACTGGGGGTTTGGGATGAAGGCCCGGTACTGGCCTGGGTCGGAACCGGGACCGGGTTGGGTCTAGGTTTTCTGTTTTTTTTTTTTAAAAAATTGTTATTCCTAATTTATTCCTACCCCCACGTACCCCCACCCGCCTAACATCCAATGAATGGGTAAAAATTAAAAAAAAACGTCCGGACCGGTCCACCAAATGGGCATCCCGTAGCCCGTCCCTAATACCCCCGGTTCGGGCCTCCAGTCCCGGTCGACCGGGCTGGTCTGGTACCGCATAGAAACGGGCTGGGCCGGGTACTGGGCCGGGACGAACCGGCCCGGTCCATGCCTAAGTACTACACTAATGATATTGAAAAACTCTTCAAAATCCATCGAAAGGACGAATTTGGGCATTTGGCAAACATAACTATGGCGCCCTTCTAATATTGTGACCTACCAAATTTATTAAATTTAGATTAGATACTACAACATTTTCTTTTCCAAATCAAGGCTTTTAAAATATTTCTTTCCTTAAATGCGGATGTTTGAAACAACATGTAGTATTCTGGATTGATTTGACAAACTGTTCATATTAAGGTCTTACTTAAATAAATCAATTTGAACGGAATTCACCGATTGAGCGCCACATAAAGTAGTGACCACCATGAATTATGAATATGGGTGGTAAGTGCATGGTTACCAATGACCGAGGATGGTGAAAGTGCTTACTGGCGATTTCACAGAGCCAAGGGGCTGAGTGACGAACATTGATGGCAAAGTTGCTCATCGACCATTGATGAGTCTAAAGGAGTTGAGCGACGATCAATGAAGAACAAACTATATTCGCCGACCGATGGTTGAGGCCCAGGAATGATAAGTTGACGGTGGATAACTTTCAGAGGTGAGAGAGGAGAGATAGGAGGCGAGGGTTGAGTAGATTACGGTAACTCGGCGTATATAGGATGAGGGGTGTGACGAGGGTTTTATAGTCCAACTTTTGGGCTTTTGGGCGGAGATTGAATTGTAGGCTTTTGGGTTGCCATTTTGTTTGGATATGTAATGTATTAAAAAGATATTTGAAAAAAATAAGTAATATAGATATCCATGCTAATTTTCATGAAATTGTAAATAAATAATTTTCTAATTTGTAAAAATAAATATGTATTTAACTTTGGGAAAGATCTGTGAAATAAATTTGTATTACATATACCTTCAACATTTGTAAAATGTAAACTGTGATACCTCATATATATTTAAAATAAAAAAAGTACTCCCTTCGTCCCAAAAGGGTTTGCCAAGTTGACTTTTTTTGGTCAACGTCAATCAACTTTTACCAATGATTTTTTATATGAAATTATTTTAAATATGAAAATTATATCAAAATGTTCCTTGTTCAAAATATTTTCATAAAAGTATAAAATTTATAAATTATATAAAAATATAATGATTAAAATCATTGTCCAAGGTTTGCCATCATTGACCAAGAAAAGTCAATATGGCGAACCTTTTCGGGACGGAGGTAGTATGTATTTAACTTAGGGAAGGATCTTAGACATGTTGTCTAAAAAACAATTAAAAAAAGTTAAAATTAAAGATTTACAATTAAAATAAATAAGTACTATGGTGTTTGGGAAATTTCTATGTATCTTCATTTAGTTTGGTTTAGTGTTTGGAGTGAAGAACAGGTCTGATTGTGGACAAATCGGAGCAAAAATAGAAGCTTGAGAAAAAGCCTGGCAGAAAACGCACGCAACATGCGCGGAAAGTGTACGGGATATGCGCGCAAAGCGCGCGCAACATGCGCGGAAAGTGCGCGACGTGCGCGTGCCGTGACATATATTTAAGGAAGTATTTCAAAATTTGTAGAACATTTATAACTTCCATCTTTGACTTATTTTTATTATGGGAAACTAATTTTTTTGTTAGATACTTTTTACTACTACCTCCGTCCCATATTTATCTTCATAGTTCGGTTTACGATGCTTGACTGACGATAAAGCAACTCGACCCCTGTTCACACTTGGATTATTTTTAGTAAATAAAATTTACATATTCAGAAACTACATTGAAACCGCTACAAAGCCTGATCAAGAAATTTTAAGTTTGATAAAAATTTGATATATAAAGTAAAAGATTAAGAGTAATTTGAGTTGACCATGTGAATAGTAACTATGAAGATAATTTTGGGACGGAGGGAGTATGATTTATATTTACAACTCATATTATTACATTACGACAATCACATTATGATACTAGAGAAAATACTTGACTTAGATCTCCCCATTCCACCCATCTCTCTGAAAAACGACGAGGATATATCAAGTTATCTCAACTCATTTTGAAAATCTGTTCTTGCTCCTTTGTGAGGACGATTGCTACATATTCACACATAAAAGAACCTGCTTGGATAAGGTCAAGTGACCTAACCCCCACCCTGTCTCCGTTGAACGGAACACTTTGAATGTTCTTCACACCCTTTTGACTCGCTCAACAATATACCGTTGTGGTCATATGCAAAGTCACCATCATTTCTCATCGTGCAGGAACAATTACCAGAACATCCATTCACACAATCACACCCGGTACAAGTTCCAGCTTGCTGGAAGACATGTGGCGGGAATATGGTCTTCAACAAATAATCATAATAAAGAGGTTCTTGATCTGCATCTTTGTCATTGTATAGAAGAGCCGACACAGTCTCTTTCTTGTGTGATATATCAAGACTGAGGTACCCTCTAGGCCTTGCAACCAATGGTTGGACCCTAAGGATCTCTGCAAATCTCAGAATAGAACTTCCCATTTCTGTTTGACCCTCAATCCTTGCCAGCTTATAATTTAGCACTCCAAAACCAGATCTCAATCCATCATACACATAGACTTTTCCACTAACACTACCCTCATATTTAAAGACCATGGTTTACCCTCATCTCAATCTCATAATACATGTTCATTTCACCCTCCAATAGTGAAAGAACCCTTATGGAATCATATAGCATACGGGTCTGGCGAATAACACTTCGGAAATACATCTCGTCCTCTGGGTTAAGATCACTAATCCAGACTAGCTCGGAAGAACGCTGTGGATACTTCCTCCTTTCACTGACCATATGGTCTATATCTCTTCTGTATTCACGGGAACTATGGCTTTCGAATCCGGGTCATCATTTTTCCTTTTTCTTAGCTCCGGTTTCATATGTTGTTGAATCACGTTAGTCAACCTCAAAATTTTATGAAACTAAGGCGTGAATGTTGTTGTTGTTTTATTATAAAAATAAGTAATTTATATCACATTGTACATGGATCTCAGATTGCTTTATCTCTTTTTAGCCATATCCAAACTTTCCATCTCTACCTCCATTTCTGTCATTTGTTTTTAGCAGCTAGAGAGAGATGGCGGAGGAATCTCAGAACGGCGGTGCGAAGAACGGAGCCGCTAAGGCTGTCACCTTCTCCGCTCTCAAGCCGCATCTATTCGTGGAAGGTTCCAAGGCAAGCGACGCCGTGCAGTTCGACAAGACCGCATTTGGTGCCGAGGAGGTCAGTCTTGTGATGAAGACGAAGAGGAGGGCCGAGCAAGAAGTTCCTCTCATTCTCTACGCCGAGCTGAAGCTCGGTTCTACTGTTTTCCTCGTTTCTGGCCTAACCGAGGACGTGGAAACTGCGGTTACTAATGTTGTTTCTGCCGGAGCTGTTGCTGAAACGGAAATCTCTGAGGGTGAGGCTTGCTGCTGCGGTGGTCGCGTTGGCACGGTGAAGGACCCGTATGGCCACCTTTGGTTCATCTGCTCCCCGGTTAAGAAGTCCGAAGAGACAGTTGAGGCTTGAAAGCCATCAGATCTTATCTAATCACTAGTACTACATTACTATTTCATCTATTTGGGTCAAAGTAGTTTAACACATTAGTTGTTAATGCTTAAATTATAATTACAGAGCAGTTATCTTTGTTTTGAGACTTAATGACGCCGTCAATGCTGTTACTCTTGGTAATTTTGTTTACTGTGGGGCTTTGATTGGTCGTGGATTGCAGGGCTTTGATTGTTGCGCTTTTTTGGGTTGTTCGCTCATTAATGATTTTGTTTCACTTGCTTTCTTTGTTTCATTAGCTTTCTTTCATCATTTTGTACTCTTCCTATTTAATTTCTAATAAATTTCCTTTCCTTGCAAAAAATATAATAAAATGTACATAGTGTGTATATATATATATATCACATTGTACATGTAAATTCAATGTGTAATACTTTTGAATGTCTTCATAGAGGCTAGGTAATGATTTTTTTAAATAGAAAAGTATTTAAAGAATCTTACCATACTCAAAAAAATTGCAGCATTGATTATGAACCCTACATCCTGTTTGTTGACACATGCATTCGACCTCTACAAGAGGAAACTTATGCTAATTAGTACAATAGTACTTATAAAGTTGGTTGTGTGTTTTGAGATAAAATTGCTCCTATACTATGCAATGTCAAACTTGTCAAATAACATGAAACTCTCAACCAGGGTGAGGTTCACGTTGAAGGATGTAATTGACTTGAGGAAGAACAAATGGCAGCAGCGAAGAAAAGTAAAAGGCATGCACAAGCTAGTAGAATGTCTCGAGCTCCTAGCATGGGCTCTTCTGTGAGAAGGAATTCACTTCCAGGCTTCCAGCAGAGGTGGTTCAAGTATGTTGCCTTCTCAAAGCTTGTCCCAAATGGGTGGTGGTCTTCGACCTGTGTCCTCACAGATGCAGGATTTTGGTGGTCAGGATGTTAGGATGGAGGACAAACATCATTCCTTTGATAACAGACCTAATCTGTTCCTCTATTATATCAATTTGTATTACATATATACCTTCACCATTTGTGAAATGTAAACCGTGATACCTCAAATATTTAAAATATAAAACAAGTATGTACTTAACTTAGGAAAGGATCCTAGAGGTGTTGCCGGCCTAAAAAATTATTTAAAAAAGTAATATAAAAGATTTATAATAAAAATAAGTAATTACTTTGGCGTAGGAAAATTTCTATTTATCTTCATTAAGTATGGTTTAGTGTTTGGGGAGAAGAACGGGTCCGGTTGTAAAAATATCGGAGCAAAAATAGAAGTTGAAGATCAAGTCTGGCAGAAAGCGCACACAACATGCGCGGAAAGTGTGCGAGACATGCGCGTAAAGTGCACGACGTGCGCGTGTCGTGATGTATATTTAAGGAAGTATTTTAAAATTTATAGACATTTATAACTTTCATCTTTGAATTTTTTAAGCGGATTGTGCTATTCCCACTCCAAATCTTGCCAAAAGTGTTGCTGCACTATTCTATTTTTATCGGATTACTTGAATAATTGATCATGATTATGTTTAAAATCAAAGCTTAATCGAGTAATAAGAATTTCATATTTTGCTTATGAAATTCTTTATGTTTAAAAATTACCGACATTCAATCTGATGGAAGGAGTATCAGGAAATGTTACTGAGAACAAAAAGGAAAGGAGTTGGCTTTCAACGTGGACTCTCACTTTTTAGCTGATCAGGTCACGGCCCAACACCAAAATTTCTTTCGGGCTTCAGATTTACCTATTTAAGATTTATTTATTAATATATCTCATTGCTTGTCTTTTTATAAAAACTGGTTAATGTTCTCCAGCATTTACCTCACTGATTTTGGTGGTTTAATTTACCTTATGGGTTTAAAAAAGATATTTAAAAAATAAGTAATATTGATATATATATGCAGACAACTTTTCAAGAAATAGTAAATAAATAATTTTCTATTTTGTAAAAAAATATGTATTTAACTTTGGGAAAGATCTATGAAATAAATATGTATTAATATACCTTCAACATTTGTGAAATGTAAACTGTGGTACCTCAAATATTTAAAATATAAAAAAAATATGTACTTAGCTTAGGGAAGAATCTTAGATGTGTTGCCTAAAAATATATTTAAAAAACTTAAATAAAAGATTTACAATTAAAATAAGTAATTACTTTGGTGTTGGAAAAATTTATATTTATCTTTATTAAGTATGGTTTAGTGTTTGGGGAGAAGAACGGGTCCAGTTGTGAAAAAATCAGAGCAAAAATAGAAGTTAGAGATCGAGTCTGGAAGAAAGGGCATGCAACATGCACGGAAAGTGTACGAGACATGCGCGCAAAGCGCGCGCAACATGCACGGAAAGTGCGTGAGTGCGTGACCTGCGTGTGCCATATATTTAAGGAAGCATTTCAAAATGTGTAGAACATTTATAACTTCTATCTTTTCAATTTTTTATTTTGGGAAACTGATTTTTTTATTTGTTTGATACTACCTCTATCCCCCTAAGTTTGGGACAAGAGAAGGTGACACGGTTATTAATAAAAGTGGGGTTATGTGGTTGATATTGAATTGATAAAGTAAGAATAAAGTAGGAATGATTTAGAACTACACAAACTTTACCAAATAAGGTATGAGACAATCTTAGTGGGACGGACCAAAATGGTAAAATGGGACAATCATAGCGGGACGGAGGGAGTACTTTTTACTATGATTTATATTTACAATTTATATTATTACATTAGGACAATCATATTATGATATGGGCATACATAGTCAGAAAATACTTGATTTAGATCTCCTCATTCCACCCATCTCTCTGAAAAACAACGAGGATATATTAAGTTATCGCCGCTCATTTTGAAAATATGTTCTTGCTCCTTTGTGAGGACGATTCCTGCATATTCATGTAAAAGAACATGCTTGGATAGGGTAAAGACTCATCCTGACTCAACCCACCCTGACTCAAGACCAGCTTATTAAGGGGTTTGAGTATGTTCTCGAGTCATTGGAGAATGCAGTAAATGATGCTCCAAAAGCAGTAGAGTTTCTTGGACGACTCTCTTCCAAAGTGATTTTAGAAAATGAGATTCCTTTAAAAGAAATTGGACGCTTAATATATGTAGGTGGGTATCGGGAAGGGTGCCTTCGAGAGATAGGTCATATGGTCCATATCTGAAAGCTGCTCTTCTGTATTCACGGGAACTCTGGCTCTTGAATCCGGGTCATCTTTTTTCCTTTTTCTTAGCTCCGGTTTCATATATCGTCGAATCATGTTAGTCAACCTCAAAATTTTATAAAACTAAGGCTTGTATGTTTAATTGTTAATGTTTCATTATAAAAATAAGTAACTTTTATCACATTGTACATGTAAATTCAATGTGTAATACTTTTGAATGTCTTCACATAGGTAATGATTTTTTTAAATAGAAAAGTATTTAAAGAATCTTACCATGCTAAAAAATCTTGCATCATTGATTATGAACCCTGCATCGATTATGACACATGCTAATTAGTAATTATAAAGTTGGTTGTGTGTTTTGAGATAAAATTGCTCCTGTACTAGCAATGACAAACTTGTCAACCAACATGAAACTCTCATCCAGGGTGAGCTTCATGTTTAAGGATGCAATTGAGTTCAGGAAGAACAAATGGCAGCAGCAAAGAAAAGTTGAAGGCATGCACAAGCTACTAGAAGGTCTCGGGCTCCTAGCATGGGATCTTCTGTTAGAAGGAATTTACTTCCAGGCTTCCAGCAGAGGTGGTTCAAGTATGTTGCCTTCTCAAAGCTTGGCCCAAATGGGTGATTTTTGTGGTCAGGATGTTAGGATGGAGAACAGACATCATTCCTTTGATAACAGACCTAATTCGTTCCTCTACTGTATAAATTATACCTTCAACATTTGTGAAATGTAAACCATGATACCTCAAATAATAAAAATATAAAACAAATATGTACTTAACTTAGGGAAGGATCATATATGTGTTGCCTAAGAAATTATTTAAAAAATTTAAATAAAAGATTTAAAATTAAAATAAGTAATTACTATGGTGTTGGAAAAATTTCTATTTATCTTCATGAAGTATGGTTTAGTGTTTGGGGAGAAGAACGGGTCCGGTTGTGGAAAAGTCAGAGCAAAAATAGAAATTAGAGATCAGTCTGGTAGAAAGCGCACACAACATGCGCGGAAAGCGCGCGCAACATGCGCGGAAAGTGCGCGTCGTGCGCGTGCCATATTTTTATGGAAGTATTTCAAAATTTGTAGAACATTTATAACTTACATCTTTTCATTTATTTTTATTTTGGGAAACAATATTTGTTTTTATTTGTTAGATACTTTTTACTATGATTTATATTTACAATTTATATTATTACATTAGTATGTTACGGTCATACATAGTAAGAAAATACTCGAGTTTGCTAGATCACCCCATTCACCCATGTCTCTGAAAAACGGCGAGGATATATTAAGTTATCGCCGCTCATTTTGAAAATCTGTTCTTGCTCCTTTGTGAGCACGATTCCTGTATATTCACAGATAAAAGAACCTGCTTGGATAAGGTCAAGTGACCTAACCCCCCGCCCTGTCTCTGTTGAACGGAACACTTCGACTCTGTTCTTTACACCCTTTTGACTCACTGTATTCCGACACGTAACGGGAGACTTGCAATGTGGGCCACATTCAAATATCAATGGGTGCGATTGTGGAAAAATTGGAGCAAAAATAAAAGTTAGAGATCAAGTTTGCTAGAAAGCGCACGCGACATGCGCGGAAAGTGTGCGAGACATGCGCGGAAAGTGCACGATGTGCACGTGCTGTGATGCATATTTAAGGAAGTATTTTAAAATCCATTGAACATTTATAACTTTCGTCTTTGAATTTTTTAAGCGTATTGTGCTATTCTAAAATAAACCTAGTGGTGCTATTTTTTAGCCAAACCATTTCAGCTATTCTTTTCAACATGCTCCAGATTTGCCTGTACTTTCAAAACGAGATTCTTTGGCCCTGCCAGTCAAGCTGATTGCTCTTGTCTAACGCAACAACACCTTTATTACTAGACTTTCCTGCAAGTGCCGGCTGTCCTCCCTCAGTTATGATTTTGTTTCCAGATTGTTGCTGAGATAAAGACCCTCTACTACTATCACATGCATCTGCACTGCCATTCGAAGCCGCCTCATCTAATGTAACACTCTTAAGATGGCACATAACCGAAACCTTGCTAGGGTCTTGTATAACAGCCTGCAGACTCGAATATCGCATAGATGGTGGCACAATCCATTTCATCATGTCATCGCGTCGCCTCACTTTCTTATCCTGCATTTCTATTTCTACAACTCCTGAAGCTTGTAAAGCATCTAATATAACTTCAACACGGTCTGTGAGCATAGAAACCCTTTTGAAGCCTGCTATCAGTTTAATAGGAACCCACCCCTGTTCATCCATGTTTCCACGCAAAAACGTGTCTTTAATTAAATTATCATTACTGAAATAATAATCTATCTGATTTACTATTTTGCTATACAGCTGGGGATCCGGTGCGTGATATAACAAAGGTGGCATATTAGTAAACATTGGCATTCTAAATGACTCTTGGTTTGGTCCTGGTACATAAAACACAGGAGATGCAACCTCTGGATAAATAATTGGGGTGCTAAATGGTCGATTGGGGATGGTCGGAGGAATAAATAGCGGAGGAGTGGGAGGTCCACGAATGAAGGGCCTAGAGGGAAATCTTTGTGGAGGGATGTGAGCATCTCTCCCACCAAACCCCCTATTATGATTCCATTCCTGATTAGTGCGCTCATGATCACGAGCACCACCATGGACAGGGTTATAGGATCCATCCCCACGAGGCCGTGGCCCCCCATTACCCCTTTTGTTGGAGTTTCGCATGTGTTGATGCTCATTTCCACCTTGTGATTGAGATCCAAATCCTCTCTGCCCACCATCCCGAATCACACTGTCTCTTGAAGTAGAAGACTCTGCACTAGAGTTACCAGATTTTTCAGCATATTGGGGGGCCATTTCACCGGCCTCACTTTGTACCCGAAAGAGGCTCCCATTACCTTGCACAGTGTTGCTAGAATTTCCACCACCACCACGTTTAAAAGACCTCTGGCGGTTTAGAGCATGAATTGGAGTTGAACTAGCATTTCCATTGTTAGAATTAAGATGCTTATGTGGAGACGAAGATGACGCAGCTCTAGGCATATCCGATCGTGTAGAAGCCTTGGTAGACTCTGATAGAGCAGGCCAGGAAACAGCGCCCATAACTGCACCGACCTCCTCTTTGGCACCACTAGGTTTATTCCAGACTGGTTTCTTAGCAGCATTGCTCCCACTCCCATTCTCATTCCCCGAGCTCTCTCCTTCAGGAGCATCCTCGAGCAATGGGGATGATGAATTACCAGATGTGGGATGAGAATGCGGAGACTGAAGTATTGCTCCAGAAGTGGGCTCAAAGGGGTCTGGTTCAGAATCAGAGCCGCGGACAATCTGAGTCCATGGCGATGAAGCCCCACGCACTGACAATGACCGCCTAGGCTTGGTGACTTGAGAGCTGATATCAGCGGCAGCGATGCTCCCTGGGGAATGATTAGTCGGAGAAGAAGCAGAAGCCATCACTCAAGACTAGAAAAATTCTATCTAAAAAAAGAGATAAGCTCCAAATTAGGGTTCCAAAACCAGGTCTATACTGAAGAGCAGCCGATCGATCCACTATTCCACAAAATCCAAAATGGGATTTAAATAAAATATTTACAATTAGAATACTCCCTCCGTCCCTTATAACTTTGCCAACTTTGCTTTTCTGAATGTCTCATTAACTTTGTCACTTCCCATTTAAGTAAAGAATTTGTGGTTCCAGTTAATTCTCTCTTCTCTGCACAAACCTCAAGTTTTTACTTTATTAATCCTCGTACCGGTCAAACTTCGCAAAGTTATTAGGGACGGAGGGAGTAAGTAATTACTTTGGTGTTGGAAAAATATCTATTTATCTTCATTAAGTATGTTTTAGTGTTTGGGGAGAAGAACGGGTCCGGTTGTGAACAAATCAAAGCAAAAATAGAAGTTAGAGATCGAGTCCGGCGGAAAGGACACGCAACATGCACAGAAAGTGTGCGAGACATGCGCGCTAAGCGCGCGCAACATGCGCGGAAAGTGCGTGACGTGCATGTGCCATATACTTAAGGAAATATTTCAAAATTTGTAGAACATTTATAACTTCCATCTTTTCATTTATTTTTATTTTGGGAAACTGATTGTTTTTATTTGTTAGATACTTTTTACTATGATTTATATTTACATTTTATATTATTACATCAGGACAATCATATTATGATAAATGCATACATAGTCAGAAAATACTTGAGTTATATCTCCCCATTCCACAAATCTCTCTGAAAAATGACGAGTATATATTATGTTATTGCAACTCGTTTTGAAAATACGTTCTTGCTCCTTTGTGAGGACAATTCCTGCATATTCACAGATAAAATGCTTGGATATGGTCAAATGCCCTAACCCCCACCCTGTCTCTGTTGAACGGAACACTTCGTCTGTTCTTTACACCCTTTTGGCTCACTCTATTCCGACACGTAATAGGACACTTGCAATGTGGGCAACATTCAAATATCAATGGTTTCCCCTCAACAAGATACCGTTGTGGTCATTTGCAAAGTCACCAGCATTTCTCAACATATTCTTTTGAGAGGAAGGATAATATGGGAGGGACCTTTTTGGGGAACTTATTGTTGATTTGTACAAATCTCAAGATGTTATGTTAAGTCAAGACCAGCTTATTAAGGGGTTTGAGTATGTTCTTGAGTCATTGGAGAATGCAGTAAATGATGCTCCAAAAGCAACAGAGTTTCTTGGACAACTCTCTGCCAATCTGAGAATAGAACTTCCCCTTTCCGATTGACCCTCAAACCTTACCAGCTTATACGTGAGCACTCAAAAACCAGACTTTCCTATATCTTCCCAATAGTCAACAATTTTATATAATCCATAATACACATAGAATTTTCCAGTAGCACTACCCTCATATTTAGTGTTTGGGGTGAAGAACGGATCCAGTTGTGTAAAAATTGGGGCAAAAATAGAAGTTAGAGAACAAGACTGGCAGAAAGCGCACGCGACATGCGCAGAATGTGTGCGAGACATGTTCGGAAAGCGCACGCGACATGCACGGAAAGACGTGTGCGTGCCGGGACGTATATTTAAGGAAGTATTTTTAAATTTGTAGAACATTTATAACTTTCATATTTTGTTTTAGCTTTATTGCAAAGTCACTACCATTTCTCATCACACATGAACAATTACCGGAACATCCATTGACACAATCACACCCCGCACAAGTTCCTGCTTGCTGGAATATATGTGGTGGGAATATGGTCTTCAACAAATAATCATAATAAATAGGTTCTCGATTTGCATCTATGTCATTGTACAGAAATATCGGCAATCTCTTTCTTGTGTGAATCCAAGACTGAGGTACCCTCTAGCCCTTGCAACCAATGGTTGGACCCTAAGGGTCTCAACAAATTTCAGAGTAGAACTTCCCATATCCGGTTGACCCTCAATCCTTACCAGCTGATACTTGAGTACTCCACAACTAGACTTTCCTATATCAATACACATATAATTTTATATAATCCATCATACACATAGACTAATGGAAAAGTCTATGTGTATTTTTTTTACTTGCAAAAAAATACACATAGACTTTTCCACTAGCACTACCCTCATATTTACAGCCACGGATTACCCTCACTTCAATCTCATAGTACATGCTTCTCTCCAATGCCAAATTCCCACCTCCAAGCTTTTGGTTAACACATGGGCGTGAGTGCTTGTCCGGTATAGATTATCACATCTCCTGGATCCATATCATCCTCGTATTCCCCAAAGACAATCACACTTGTTGCAATGGGCTCTCTGTATTCGACCCACTTACTCTTTTTATTTGTTGTAGCATATCATTTTAACTTTTATACATTTTGTAATCTCCTTTATGATAAATCAATATTGATG